CATCAAATATTTACTGCAGAGGAACCACACTATATTGCTTTATTGAAAGTTTTTATATTCCTTTAAAATGCTTTTTTAAAAGTGTATCTTATAAAATAAAAATTATTTTGAGTCAAAATGGATACCATAAAATGGGAAGTACCGCAAAGGAAAATGTTTAATGAGTGAATTTAAGAACTTGATGCAAATTAGAAATGAAGGCAACTTTAGGTGGCTAGAAATAAAGGAAGAAATGAAAAAAAAATGATAAAAATGGATTGAAAAATCATCCCATTAAAGTAAATCCATCATAAGGAATCATACTACTGACTATGTGGCATGTAGTTTTAGCATTTAGCTATCCATTTATTTTTTTTTAGGCATACATTCTTTCATTTCTCCATTTATTCTGAATTTATTAAAGTCTTTAACAATTTCTAAGCTCAAATATTTCATCATCATAGTAAACATACTCTGATTCTAAACTCAATTTACTCACTTAAGAGTCTCCTAAAATTCAAATTCTAATATCTTGTACATTTTCTGAACATGGCTTTATTTCACCTTCATTCCTGAATGACTGATAGAATTGCATACTTTACATATGACAGGTGTTTTCCTTTTCCACAGGATAATATTTTGTTTTCCCTTTTTTATTTGTTGCTGATATGATATCTGCTTTGAATGAAATAATCCTTAGAAAGTTCATTTTCCCCTAAATTTTTTTTAAGAATGTATTTTGGGCTGGGGGTATAACTCAGTGGTTGAGCACTTACTTAGGATGCATGAGAATATGGGTTCAAACTCCAACACTTCAAAAGAAAAGAAAGGAAGAAGAAAAGTGAAAAACTTTTCTTTTTTAGGTACTGGGGATTGAACCCAATGCACTTTACCTCTGAGCTACCTCTTGTCTGGCCTCCCAAGTTTCTGGGATTGTAGGTTTGTTCCATCACACGCAGGTAGAAGTTCTACTTAATTGACTACATTGGTTCTTGTTCACACTATCTGAGACACAATATGCTACTTATAAGTTATAGACATATTTCTTTCTTCAA